ATATATATAATATTGTCTTTTTTACCCTTTTCCCTGTCACGTGTTGTTTTTCCACTTCTCTCTCTCACTATTTTTTTAGTTTGATTTTCATACGTTATTTCTGACATTTCTCATATGTGTATTATATGGTTTATAAGACGTATATACTATCTGTCAACGCGGTGACAGGTTGTGTTCACTGACAACACGTTAAATAAAAATAACAATAGCGTGCGCGTAGCATTATATGTATTATTTATTTATATATAAAATCATTATTTCATATATCTATGTTATAATACTTCTAAGACACGGTCCTATAAAAACCACAAATGGTAGTAAAATGATTTTGTTCGCAAAAGTAGAAATGCCAAAAATCGTGCAGGACACCATCGAGAGTATCCAAGCAGAGTACTCCCACCTTCTCGATGCTCTCGTACGCATACAAGCGAAAGCAGCGTCCGTATGCTGTTCTCGCTTGTATACGTACAAGAACTTCGAAAAGGTAGGAATACACCGCTTCGATACTCTCGATACTGTTTTGCACGTTTTGGCATTTCTGCAAAAAAAGCAAATATTCTTAAGAAAAAAACTTTCTTATTACGGCTGGTATTCATAGTCGATCTTATATCTAAAGTTGTCTTAAGCTTATGTTTTCAATAATATTGATCATTTTTCAACCAATGAAACGTCTATCACTTCAAATATAAACTTACGTCAGTTTTACATACACGATTAGACTATGAATACTGGCTTAAATTCTAGCACGAATATGTAAAGTTAAGAAGATACAACCACTGTGTATTTGAATTGCGAGAGTTCTGTTTGTGCGTAAAGAGTAAGAATTGTTCACCAGATTGCCACGTTTACCACTCACTGGTCTACAGTTAAAATTTAAGATAATTGAGTATCCGTTTTACACAAAGTTCGTTTTTATTAAAATGTCGTGTGATAAAGAACATCCGTTAGAAAATACGGAAAGCTTCAAACAGATATACTCAGGAAATGTCAACGATACTATGCCATTGTATATATACAGATCTGTAAAAACCGGTATAACTGTGTGTATTGCACAATCAGATGGCCCATTTATCGACAGTGATTTTAATATTGGTAACGTATTGACACATGTATTGTTACACATATATATAATTTAATCTTATTATTCATTATTCGACATAATTTCTTAGTCGATAGACTAAATAACAAAACAAACATTGACATTAAGTGGTAGTTTTTAACTATTGTAGAAATTTATAAAATGTAAGTTTAGCATTGTATTTTTGTATCAGTGACAGAAACATTTGATAACGATGGTCTTCCTTACGCGGTGCAGCATCTTATTTTCACGGGCAGCGACGATTACAATAATAATTTAAAATTATGGGCTAATAGAAGCCTAGCAAGTAATATTAATGCAAGTACTTCACAAAATCGCACTTGTTTTTCTATGAGAGCAGCTGGTAGCGAAACATTTCTTACTTTAATGCCAAAATATCTCAACCACATACTTTATCCTACTTTAAAGGTAAAATACTCTTTAATTTTCTTTGTTTAAGTGTATTAAACGAAAAGATGCTAATTATTGAGAATGACAAATAATAATTGTTTTTTAGTTAACAATTATCAAACAAGTTAAAATCTTATTATTATTTAATTTTTTCTTTACTTTTATTTAGAACTTTCGAGTTAGTAATATTGATATCATAAGAAACATGCTATTTTGATGAATAATATCAGACCTATTTTTCTTACAATATACGTTTCGACTTGTATAAAAATTTACAGTGCGTGTGTGTAACTACACTCACTGTAATCGTAACATTTCAAATTACAATATATCATGATAACAATAATATATAACAAAAGTCAAGAAAATCAACAACACAATAAAGCTATTCCGATGTGTTTTCGTAACATTTACGTTCTATAAGAAAAACAATCGATAACATTTGCACTATTCAGCAAAATCAAAAATATTATTTCTACACCGGTACATGATTTGCACAAACTTTTCCATTGAACAAGATTTAATATACACAATTTTTGTTTTATCCAAACTTAAAGAAATAAATAATCAAACTTTACAACAATATAAAAATAAATTGTGTTACAGAATTATGATATAACTTATCTTTTTTATTGCTGTGTGCGCATATGTGGTTAATATTTATTATCAATAATCATATTAGAAGTTTATGTTAATGCAATTTACCTTTCTATCTTTTATGTCTTCTACAGAATTTCTATACTTTGCAAAGCAAAATGTTTTGTTTGTCACGTATGGTTTACAATAGATTTTGTTGCAACTATAAAGTTAACTAATATATAAAGTACTCTTATATTATATGAAATAACTTATATTAATGTTTATAAGACACAAAAAACATTATTTTTTTTTTTTATAAACAGCAAGTTAAAAAAATTTGACATCTATAAAAATATGTATTATTTTTGAACGTTTTGGTAGGATACAGCATATCTTACAGAAGTACATCATGTTACTGGAAAAGCAAATGACGGTATAGTTTATCGTAAAATTCAGATTAAGGAACGTACATCAGATTATATAATACAGAAGAAAATGTTACGGTTTCTTTATCCTGGGAAGTGTGGATATAACTCACTTATATACGGTAAAAAGAAATGTCATAACAACTCTTGCCTGTGTGTGTACACACACACACGCGCACGCATATATAGTATACATGTTGTAGTCAAAGCTCGAAGCAAGGACATTCCTAGGATTGACTGGTCAATGCGTGGAGCATTGGTCAAAGTCCGAAATAGGTTTTTTCGCGTACTTTTCCATGTACGCTATCGCAGTGACATAGTATCACTGAACTATATACTATATTGAAACTCTTACTCAATATTAAGCAGCCGGTCAATCAAAAGATAGAAATAATTTAAATATATTTGTCCCCATATCTATCCTTGTCTGAGCATTTTTGATTCAAATATTTTTAGTTCGAGGTAGGGTAGGGTAGTATAACGTTAGTAAAAGACAGGATGGTGACAATTCTCTATCTCTATCGTCTCGTTTTTTTCCATTTGAGTGAACGTTCCAATATAGTATATAGTTCAGTGCATATTATAGATTAGGTTTTTAAAGAAAGGAGATGCAGAGGATAGGAAAAAATTTAATCCAACCTAATCTATGTCACTGTAATGATAACGTACAGTAAAAAGTATGCAAAAAAACCCATTTCGAGCTTTGACCAATTCCGCGCATTTACCGATCAATCGTAGGAACGTCCGTGATTTGACTATAACATGTACATATATATACAGGGTGTCCCAAAATTGGTTTAACATCTCTTGTAGGCAGGTAGAAGGAATAAAACTGAAGTGAAAAGTCCTATACCATTTTGCTAGATTCGCAATAGTTACTGAGATTTTAATTAACAAAGATCCGCAAATAAGCATGCATCGGGCTGTCTTATGCGCGTAAGACTGCCCGCCGCGCTTCGCGCGCTAACGGTGTTACCCATAGCGACATATGGGAGGAGCTAATATAACAGCATATACTATAACATATACATATTAAAATGTAATTGTGTGAAGCNTAAAATCTCGGTAACTATTGCGAATCTAGCAAAATGGTATAAGACTTTTCACCTCAGTTTTATTCCTTCTACCTGCCTACGAGAGATGTTAAACCAATTCTGGGACACCCTGTATATATATAGGTAAGTAACAAATGTTTATATTTGTAATTATAGGTACAACAAAAAATTTGCGCGAAAGTACTAATAATGAAAAAATCAAACAGTTTCACAAAAAGTTTTACAGACCAGAAAACTTGACTATATTGATAACGGGTAAAATAAACCACAGTCATATTTTTCAAGCGTTACTTCCTTTAGAACAGAAAATAATGTCAAAGGTATACGCATCACAAAACATATTACGTGTTTTTAAACTAAATTTTTTTTCTTTACAAAACCACAACTATGTAATCAGTTTTTTATTACTCTTGTGAATTTCAAGTTTTTCGTACACTTGTAGAAAAGAAATGATATATTTGAGAGACCTTGGCAAACTCCAATTGAACAGCTTAAGAAAAGCGTAGATGTGGACGTTATTTTTCCTAGTTTGTACAAAACTCATAGCGACGTATATGTTGCTTGGCGAGGACCATCAGCAGTTACTCAAGAGTACGACTATCACGGTTGTGTAGCACTTTTAAAATATATCACAAACATAAGCAGTAGTCCGATCAAAACAAACCTTGGTGTTCATAGTTGCATTGTGTCGATTTCGACTAATTGGTCAGTTCCATATTTGAAAATTATTTTTAAGAACATACCAATAGAACAAATCGATTTGATCACAAAAGAGTCCATTCATAATGTACTTAGCACTACATATACCAATGGTATAAATATGAAAACGATAAAAAATTTTATTCACAAATCAATTTTTGACTATCAAATTGACTTCGAAATTAATCCGCATAAAAACATCGCAAACTTTCTTTTTGACCACTTACTACACGAGAATACGAATAATGTATGTATGATATTGAATACATTACTAAAAACTTGTATTTGAATTATTTTATTTACATAAGTAATTTTGTTTTTTTTCTTCGTTGTATATAGTTGGATCAACGGTTAAATATTATACACAATCTAGAAAAATTAAAAAACGAATCTGACAAACATTTTTTAGATCTATTTAAACATTATTTTGTCGATGCACCGATGGTTATCGTGAAAGGCAAACCCAGTGTAGACGAGTATTTTAAGTTGCAAGAAGAAGAAAAACATGTAACCGAGCAAATCACAAAGTTTGGCCAAAAAGGTTTAAAGCAGAAAGACAAAGAGCTTCAACAAGCTATCGAAAAATTAAACGTATATATATATTTGTATACTTGAATATTTCTTTACATGCTACAAATTATATTATATTATAAATACACTAAATGTTTCATATATTGACACTTTTACCAATCTCTTCGATTTTTTCATCTTTTAAGAAAGGTGTGCCTAAAGAAGTACAGGAAAAAATCCTTATACCTGGCATAGAATCAATCACTTTTCATGACATTCAGAGGTATAACACGGAAACGCTTGAGCAACATCCTAAATTCGATGTTAAAAAACTGCCATTCTTTACCTATTTAGATCATGTCAATACAAATTTCTTTTATGTGAGTATCGTTTTTGTTCGTATCGTTATCGTTTTGTACTAATTTATATATTGTTTTACTTTGTTACAATTTATGTGTTTAATAATTAAGATTTAACAATTAAGACTTTATGTGTTTAACAATTAAGAATAATGAGTTCTAAGCTCTTTTAAGTATAAATTACGCAAAATGTTGGATGGTCATAAAAGCTTAACAAAGTGTTTGTTTTGTACTACATAAATATATATGTATACATATTTGTATTCCTCCTATAACCGTTAAAAATTTCGCGTAGTGTGCAGTTATGTTTCTCTTATATAAATTAGAGTGTATTTAATTAATTTTCATTTTTCAGATACTCAAAATATCTACATGTACTTTTGTCATTATTAATTGTAAATAAATTACATTTCTTACATTTATGCTAAACTTATATTTATTATATTTATTATATTTATGCTAAATTATTTATTTATTTCTTATATTTATCCTAACATTATATTTATGGTAAATATTTCTTTATTTTATTTTTAGTTACACGTTATTATGGATACTTCTTCCATTAGTCTAATAGATAAATCTTATATTCCGTTGTTGGCAGAAGTACTCACAAAATCTCCGGTAAAAAGAGGAAATCAACTGATTCCTAGTGGAGAAGTACAAGATTTATTACTTGCTGATAATATAAAAGTTCATTCTCATATTGGCATTAATACTTCGGAACACATTGCTCATACTATGTCTTTAATGTTTCAGGTAATGTAAAAATCGTTTCATTCTTTCCTTCCGAAAAATAGTAATGTGAAATAAATATATTCGTAAATTCTAGATTTTCACACACTTAACTTTTTATAGGTTGAATTCCAGAATTATGAAAAAAGTGTACAGTATTGTAAAGAGTTTTTATATCATACTAAAATAACGGTCGAAAGTTTAAAAATAGCACTAACACGATTACTAGACATAAATAAAATAATGCAAGGAGAAACACTTGCAGTAATTTTAATGGATACGTTGTTACACATGGACGGTAAGTCTGATGAGATTTTCCTTACTGCTCCCATTACAAATGTACATAATGATAACAATACTAAAGCGTCCATTGTTTGGCAGGCGACCACAATTCATACACCCCGTTGTGGCAGCACAAGTTTCTTAATGCTGTTCAAGAAATCCTAAATACCGATGTAGGGCAGAAAAAAGTGTTAGCACAAATCGAATCTATCCGAAAAGTGCTGACTTCGCCGAGAAATATGTTTGTGCACATGGGCGTCAATGTCGATAAATTAACGGAATACGTTCCAGATGTTTATGCTCCATGGAATAAGTACTTTTCAGAGTTTATGAGCTCAGAAAAAACGAAGTAAGTAGAGTATGAACTTTTAAATATTGAAAAACAGTTGTGATAGATTAATATATTAATCAAAAGTTTCAAGTTTACTTAATTCAGTTTTTACAATGATTCATGACTGACACGGACAAAGAAAACTCACAAGAATAGGTTTACAAGTGATACATATAAATGTAAAAAGATTAATCTAATTACTCCGGTTTCAGAATTACCATCACCTCTAAGTCAAAACGTACGCCTCCTAGGTATTCTTACAACGGGTGTATTATGGGGATGAAATGGATAAAGTCTTCGGTTTTACTTCAATCTTGTCCGTGCATAAATGATTTTCAACATTCCGATTTGCCAGCTTTGNAAGTGTGTCTGACTTATCTTACGCAAGAAGGAGTAAGCGCACGATAATCGTTCACTAAATCTGCGATAAACTTAGTCACCAGTAATTCATGCATGTGTGGTATTTTGTAGGGACCTATATGGGAAGAACTTCGAAAGCAAATAACGCTTGCAGATCACTACAGTCTTTTTACAGCAGTAACCGATGGAAACTTACATTTAGAGTTGGTTTCAACTACAAACTTAGTAGCTGCGTACAACAAAATTAAGTTGACAGTGGTACAATTTTTATTTCTATTGCGATTATAAGTAAATGTCGACATATATATGTACATCCTTTAAAAAAAGTCCAAGTTTGAATTGCCTTTATCGTTACTTTTTTGGCAGTACATATTGTTACTTTTTTTTCGCAGGAAGCGCATCTTGCGGGAAACAAATGGAACTACTATCTTTACGAAAAAGCTAAATCGTCAGTCATTTTGAAGAATATCAACATGGTACATTCTATACAGAATATGATAAATGCATCGCTGACGTCTTACTGTAAAAACATGCCCCATGATTATATTTATCAAATGGTACGACGCGTTTTTGTAGTTTCTATGGATGACATGAGCCATGTACTAACTAGGTACATCAAACCATTATTTGACTTTAAAATATGCAAACTTGCTATTGTATGTACTAATGACAAAAGTGCCGAAATAACAGAAGCTTTTGAAAAGTAAGTAATTTTATTTCTTACGTTATTCTACAAATTTTATTTTTAAATAAAGAAATATTAAAATAATATATATATATTTCCTTTTTTACAGAATGAAGTTTAAGTTTAACATATATACAAGCATAAATGAACTGTATCACTATATTGAAAACATGACTATGAAATGATTTTCTTCAAATGATTATAGATTTAAAAATCTATTGAATAAAACATGATTTCGGAAGATGTATAACTTCGACAGGTTTATGTGATATGTGTATAGTCTGACGGTTAGTTCGAAAAATGTGTATAAATGTTTTAACTCAAAAACTATTTATTAAACAAATACACAATGTAAGACTTATGTTATGACTTTAATTTTTATAGTAACGAGTATGTAATAGTAACTATGCATAGTATTATTTATTTTGTAATAACTAATATGTAGTAAATTATGTATGTAATGTATATACGTTTAGAATAGTAATACATAATTGTATAAAACCTAAATATTGTTCTGCGGATAGTAAAGCTTTTATTGGTATATATTTTTGGATATTTTTAAGCTTTTGCACATTTTATTATTAACACCGCAAAATCGAGTTTCTAGATCAAAAAAAATAAATTTTTTGTGTAAATTACACTTTAAACATGTGTAGTAGCTTATATCGAATTAAGTCTATTTGGTAGTTTAAATACAAGCAGTTCGATTAAAATAAACTTTAAACGTGTTATGGTAAATCTTGTTCAATAAAGTTCGTTTTTGTCCGATGTAAATAAATATAAACTTTCGAACACTCAAAAGTAAGACTTGAACAGATTAATTTTCTTTAAAGACTAAACTCTCCATTATATAGATAAAAAAGTAAATGTCTTAATAATAGCACCCTCTATCTCATCCCTCTATCTCATACCTAGCGTATTTCCGCGAAAGTTGTTGTGTCGCTACCACAATGTGCAAGACGCTATGAGCCACTTTGCTGTAACGCTGCAACAAAATTACATTGAATCCATATACAAACGCATCCGTAAGCAATTTTGTTTCGTACTTTGCATTATATAGACGCAACATTGCTTGTTGCAACTTTAAGTAAAAAAACCGACATTTTTTCAAAATAATTTGTAAATTGTATTGGCTTTGCGACGTTCATCATTTTCTATACTTTTACATCTTTTCGTAAAAGCGACAAAGAATAGTACAAATTCAATTATATAGAATAACATAGTTTTATTCAAAATTGTATCTTTTAATACGGCATTTATATACTGCTGAGTGTTAAATAACAAACTAAAAATTGCATAGTAAATTACAGTTAAAATATAACAACTAAATAAAACCTTAAAGAACTCAAAATGCCGTAAAAGTCAATTTTTCGACATACACCGCAAAAACGAAAGCGTTACGGTGCAGCACCTTTTGTTCTACCATCAAAACATTATATTCCTACATCGATTACATGTTTGTAGAAGAAACCATCATTACCTGTGGATTATGGGCACTAGCCATAATACATAACTAATAAGACATAGAAGAATCAAACAATCAAAGCTTTCTATAACAAGAAATAGAGATATAAACACAAAGCTCGATTACTTGATTTTCTTACGTTTTATGCATTATGCGTTATGCAAAAGTTTGTGCTTCGGCCTTAAAAAGTAAATATTCTTAAGAAAAGTACTTTTCTCTGTCGTATTACGACTGGTATTCATAGTCGAATCTTATATCTAAAGTTGTCTTAAGCTTATGTTCCGATTGGTCATTTTTGCAACCAATGAAACGTCTATTATTTCAAAAGAAACTTACGTCAGTTTTACGTATACTATAAATACCAGCTTACAATGTACGGATTTGTATATTACGAAAATATATCTATCGTGTACCTGAACTGCGAAAATTCTGTTTGTGCATAAAAAGTAAGCATTGTCCGACAAGTTGCCACGTACACCAGTCACTGGTCTATAGTTACAATTTAAGATAATTGACTATTANTTTTACACGAAATTCGTTTTTAATAAAATGTCGTGTGGTGAAGAACATTTGTCAGATAATACAGAAAACTTCGAACGGTTATACTCAATAAACATCGACGGTAGTATTCCATTTTATGCATACAGATCCAAAAACACCGGCATCACTGTATGTATTGCAGAAACACACGGTCCATTTATCAATGGAGATGTTAATATTGGTAGTGTATTAACATGCATTATTACACATACATATATATAATTGATCTTAGTATTTATTATTGAAGATTCTTTCATTTTGTCACAAAACTTCATTTTGTAAAACAAACCTTCAGTTTTTACGTAATATTTTTGAACAAGTATAAACATTACAAATACTTTGAGTTTACTATTGTATTTCGTATCAGTGACAGAAACATTTGATAACGATGGTCTTCCTTACGCGGTGGAGCATCTTATTTTCATGGCCAGCGACGATTACCGTTACAATAATATTTTGCAATTATGGGGTAGTAGATTCCTAACAGATAACATTAAAGGATTTGCTTTCAAAACTCACACTTGTTTTACTATGAGAGCAGCTGGTAGCGAAGCATTTCTTACTTTAATGCCAACATATCTGGACCACATACTTTACCCTACTTTAGAGGTACAACATTCCTTAATTCTTTGTTTAAGTGTATAAAACGAAAAGATGCAAACTATTGTGAATGACAAATAATACTTGTTTTTGTACTCAATTATCAAACAAGTTAAGAAACCTATTATTATTTTATTATTTCTTAGATTCCATGTAGAACTTTCGAGACATTAATAATGATACCTTAAAAAACGATCTATTCTACTGAATAATATCAGACTTATTTTTTTTTACAATATGTTTTGTTACTTGTATAAAAAGTTAATGTGTATCTACACTCACTTCAATCGTAACATTTTCAAAGTAACGTTATATCATGATAACAATAGTATGATAAAAGTCAAAAAAGTCAACAACATATTAAAGCTATTTTGCTGCGTGTGTTTTCATAACAGTATTTACGTTCTTTGAGAAAAACAACCGATAACGCAACATTTACCAAGTCACGAATAATTCTACACCGATACATGATTTGCAAACTTTTCTAGTAACACAATAGAACTTTAATATACATTTTTTATTTTATCTTAACTTAAAGAAATAAATGATGAAATTTTAAATCAATATAAAAATGAATTCAAGGTTNAAGACTTATGATGTAACTTATTCTTTTTATTATTTATGTAAGCGAATTTATGAAATGTATTTAGAATATTTCGGTAAAAACATATATGTGGTTTCTATACTTTATCGGAGTTCCTATTACAATCTTCTGGTTCTGAAATTTCTTTCCTTACGTATTATACGTTCTACAAAAACTTAATAATTTGCACAGTAAAATGTTTCGTTTGTCATGCATGCTTTGCACTATATTTTGTCGCAACGATAAAGTTAAATAATATATGACTTTCTTTATGTTATCATACTTTATATTATTGTTTGAAAGATACAAAGAAACAATATTTATTATTTTCTTAAACTGCAAATAAAAATTTTTACAATTATAAAACTATTTATTTTTGAACGTTTCGCTAGGATACAGCATATCTTGTAGAAGTATATGATAGTACTCGAAAAGGCCACAATGCCGGTACAGTTTATTGTAAAACCCAGGCTACAGAACGTACAGCAAATTTTGTATTACATAACAAAATGTTACGAGTTCTCTATCCAGGAAAATGTGGATATAAGTCAGTTATACCAGGTAACAAAATGTTCTACCAACTTCTGTTTGTGTGTGTATATACAGGGTGATTTAGAACAACTCGTTATTTTTGAAAATGCATATTTTTGACTAAATTTTAAGACACCTTTTTATCTGAAAAAATCTTGTCTGAAGCTTACTTTTTGAGTTACTAATAAAAATAGTTGGCGTACTATGAGTCAGATCCAAGAATTAGGCAAGCGCGGCGCAACTCACCGTGATTTATGTGATGCACGGATTAAATGATACAACTTACGAACGAGTAAATAAATGAGAAAAAAAGATACAGAAACAGTGCGTAGCGATCAGCTATTTTTATTACGAACTCAAAAGTTAAGCTTCTGACAACATTTTGCCAGATAAAACGTTGTCTTAGAATTTAGTCAAGAATATGTATTTTCAGAAATAACGGGTTGTTCTAAATCACCCTGTATATATATATATTTCAAATTGAAAACGTACGTGGAAAATATTTTTATTTGTATTTATAGGTACGACAAAAAATTTGCGCGAAAGTACTAATAATGAAAAAGTCAAACAGTTTCACAGAAAGTTCTACAGGCCAGAAAACTTGACTATATTGATAACGGGCAAAATAATTCACAGTCATATTTTTCAAGCGTTACTGTCTTTAGAACAGAAAATAATGTCGAAGGTATATGCATCCCAAAACAAATTGCGTGTTGTCGCACTTACTCTGTATTTTGTTTTACAAAAGCACACTTATGTATTTAGTTTTCTATTACTTTCGTAAAATTTAAGTTTATTGCACAATTGTAGAAAAGAAATGATATATTTGAGAGACCTTGGCAAAATCCAATTGAATCATTCAAGAAAAGCGCAGAAGTGGAAGTTATTTTTCCATCCGAGGACGCAAACTATGGCGAAGTACATGTTGCCTGGCGGGGACCGTCAGCAATTACTCAAGTGTACGAATATACCACTTGTCAAGCACTTTTAGAATATATCGCGGAAACAAACGATAGTCCGTTAAGACTATTCTTTGATAAATTTGCTGATCAATGTAGTATTACGTGGTTTTCGTCTAAATGGTCAGTTTCATATTTGAAGATTATTTTTGAAAACGTACCACTAAACCACATTGATTCGATCACAAAAGAGTCTATGTATACAGTACTTAAAACGGTATATACCAATGGTATAAATATGAAAATAATGGAAAGTTTAATTCGCAAATCATTGATTAACTACCGAAATGAATTTGAACTAACTCCGCATGAACCCATCTCACACATTCTTTTTCATTATTTAGTATACGAGAATATTGAAAATGTATGTATGGTATCTTTACATTACTGAAAACTTTTACTTGAAATAAGTTCCTTACATAACTAAGTTAAAATGTTTTTTTACATTTAGTTACAACAACGGTTACAGAATATTCTACGCGAAAAAGAAAACTTGTTAAACAAGCCTAAAGAACATTTTTTAGATCTACTTAAACAGTATTTTATCGATGCACCGATGGTTATCGTGAAAGGCGAACCCAGTTTCGAAGAGTATTATAAGTTGCAAAAAAAAGAAAAACATGTAACCGAGCAAATCACAAAGTTCGGCCGCAAAAGTTTAAAGGAGAAAGACAAAGAGCTTCAACAAGCTATCGAAAAATTAAACGTATAATATATATTTGTATACTTAAATATTTCTTTACATGCTACAAATTATATTATATTATAAATACACTAAATGTTTCATATATTGACACTTTTACCAATCTCTTCGATTTTTTCATCTTTTAAGAAAGGTGTGCTTAAAGAAGTAGGGGAAAAAATGCTTAGACCTGGCATAGAAACAATCACTTTTCATGACATTCAGAGATATAACACGCAAACGCTCGAGCAACATCCTAAGTTCGATGTTAAAAGACTGCCATTTTTTATCTATTTAGATCATGTCAATACAAATTTCTTTTATGTGAGTATCGTTTTTGTTCGTATCGGTATCGTTTTGCACCAAGTTATATATTGCTTTACGTTGTTACAATTTATGTGTTTGATAATTAAGATTTAACAAGTAAGACTTTATGGTTATTAATTACGCGAAATGTTGGATGGTCATAAAAGCTTAACAAAGTGGTTATTCTGTACTACATAAATATATATGTATACATATTTGTATTCCTCCTATAACCGTTAAACATTTCGCGTAGTGTGCAGTTATGTTTCTCTTATATAAATTAGAGTGTATTTATTTCATTTCCAATACTCAAAATATCTACATGTACTTTTATTATTATTAATAGTAAATAAATTACATTTATTATATTTATGCTAAACTTATATATATTATCTTTATGTTTAATTATTTATTTTTTTATTATATTTATGATAAATATTTCTTTATTTCATTTTCAGTTACAAGTTATTATGGATACTTCTTCTATTAGTCTGGAAAATAAACTTTATATTCTGTTGTTGGCGGAAGTACTTTTAGAATCTCCCGTAAATAGAGAAAATCAACTGATTTCTAACGAAGAACTAAAAGATTTGTTAATTGCTGATAATATAGTAGTTCACTCTCCATGTGGCATTGATTTTTCGCACGAAATCGCTCATACTCTGTCTTTAATGATTCGGGTAATATAGAAGTAGTTTCTCATTATTTCCTACCGAAACAAAATTGTGTGAAATAAATATATTCTACATGTAAATTCTAGATTTTATACACTTAACTGTTTGTATAGGTTGAATTACAAAATTATGA